TGATAAATTGATGTATTTCATAGACTGATTTGATGTTGCATGCTAGTGATGTGCGTGCATATGCATTGTTTTGGTGAAGTTAATTCCCATTGTGTGGAATTTGAATTGTATTGCCGTTAACCGATACCCGGGTGATGATGGGTGGTTAGGCTGGATTCGTGTCCGGGTGTTTATGGACGAATCGATGATTGATGTATCCGGTTGATGATGGATCAGTGTTGGGTGACTTGGTCACATGTTGGTACCACATGCATTGTGTCTGAATTTGTGTTTGCATGGAATTGTAACATGTTAGGATGTCTTCCAGTGTTATAATTCTTTGGTTGATTATTGATTTGTGCATAATGACTTGTATGATTGGAACTGCGTGTTGAATCTGAATTTATGCTAAAATGGGTGAAATAATATGCTTGTGATATACTGTTGATTGAGAAGCTTACAATGCATGTTAATTATGAGAAATCTCACCCTTACTTTAACAATTTCAGATTAAAGTTAGCAGCTCAGGAGTTGGTGAGGATGGCTCTAGAGCTATGTTACTTTAAGTCTGCGTGTCAGTGTCGTGCTCTGATAGGTTGTAACACTGGGGGAAACGTTTGAATGATGAGATTTATTTTATACTCTATTGTTTAATTTATGTTGGGAATACTTATAAAGTGAAGTTATTCCGGTTTTGAGACATTTCCGCTGTGTAGAACATGATATTGATTTAAATATTTATCTTAATAATTCCTTTAGTAAAGAATGATAACTGTAGATTTGAGGTTTTTATATTTATCTTGGATTGTGACATCCCTGTTTTCCATGTTACTCTGATTTAATTAATATATTCGCGGGTTATTTAGAAGGGGTGTTACATATTGTGTGGTGTAAGTCACTCTTATATCTTTTGATACTTGTGGTCGATATTATGTTCTCACTCAGAAGCCTTTAGGCAATGAGTTGAGTATTGTTCTTGGATGAATATTTTAAGCAAATCCAAGTATTATTCTTAGTCAAGAGTATTGGCTAGGTATTATAATGGAAGTATGATATTCTAGTTGAGTTATACTCGGTACAATCATTGGGATTGGGACTGTTAGATATAACTGAGGTGATTTAGGAAGTGAGATTTCGATTTCTCATATTTAGGAGGTTCCTAGGTAGAAGTTGCATTGAGTAGTGATTAAGTGAGAAGTTATAAACTGTGACTGTTTAACTTTAAACTAATACTGTTGATAGTGGACTTCCTTCTTGGCTTGGTATCCCCCAGATGTTGGTGATGTTGCACCGAACTGGGTTAATAACTCTATATGTTATTTAGAATTCTTCAGTTTATGTTTCAGTATTTGTTATAACTTGATAAATCTGTTCAATATGTTAAATCAGATGTTGTAACATCTGCCTAGACATTGTTCTGATGTTGGAATATCAATATTCCCTTGTGTTGCATGTACCAGAGAAATTTCAACATTAACATGCAGAAGAAGTTGGAAATATATACCTCATATTCCAAATTTCAAACGAGATGAAACCAATTCAAAAAATACAAGTGTCCTTTTAAGTTGCGTGGTTATCGGTTGGAAAATAATAAATTATGATTTAATGTGATATGTGGTTTACATAACCATGATTTGTGTGAAAAGTTAGTACGTCATCCAATTAAATGTCGCCTCGTGCTAGAAGAGAAAAAATGTGTTTCAGATATGACATTGAATTTGGTGCAACTAAAAAATATACTTGCAACCTTGAAGCATAAAAGATTCGAGAATATCATAAATGTTAGGCAAATGTACAATATCTGCTATCAAACTAACAAAGAGTTGATGAGGGATAAAGCTGAAATGCAAAACCTATCGAAACTTTTAGATGATAACAATTATGTATCTTGGTACCAGACGTGCAAGGATGGAGTAACCATTAGAGATATATTTTGGACTCATCTTGATTCCATAAAGTTGTTCAACGCGTTTCTCACAGTACTCATCATTGATTCAATGTATAAGACCAACAAGTACAAACTTCCATTATTAAAAATCATCGGTGTTACCTCTACTAAGAAGACTTATTCTGCCGGGTTTGCATTTATAAAGTGCGAAAAAAGAGGAGAATTTTACTTGGGCTTTAGAGGTCTGTCGAGAAATGCTGAAGAATCAAGAAGAAATGCCTAAAGTAATTGTTATCGACCGTGATACCGCTATCATGAATTCAATTGCAAAGGTATTTCCTACTTATTATGCATTACTTTATAGCTACCACATGACAAATAATGTGAGAAGTTAGGTTAAACCCCTGTAGGGTCAAAGCAAATAGAGTGCAGAGATGGAAAAATGCTTAAGGCAGATGTCATAGTGAAAAAATAATGGATGCATGGAATGCTATAATAAATTCTTTTACAAAAGAGTTACATGGTGATGTTGTTATATAATTCAGAAAGGTGCTTAGATCGATTAGATTAGACACCTTAGAAATACAACAACAAACCGAGTGTAGTCTGCCCATGCTACTTTGAAGAATTGGTAGGCAAATAGTAAAAGTGATTTGTATAGAGATTGAGATTTTGTGAACCAAATGATCCAAAACCAGCATAATGAGATATTAACACCATTTGGTCGTAGCATCATAGTGTTGGAACACATATTCAAAGACAACATTGTGTATTCTCAGTTGGGCAACAACATATCTCGAGCAGCTCCAAATTATATTTTTTATGAAGCCAATTGAGTTAAGAATGTAGGTTCTGATAGCTTAAAGTGTGGTTTCACACTTATGAAAACCTATGGTCTCCCGTGTGCTTGTCTTATATCTAAGAAGGTGAAATTTGATAACCTGATACGAGTGGATGAAGTTTGCACTCACTGGAAAAGGCTCAGGTTTGAAGATGACGGTGTCACGAAAAATGGTAAATCAAATTTCTCTATCTTGACCAAATGGGAAGTGATACAAGATAGATTTTTGAAAGCCGAAGATAATATGAAACGCCACATCAAAGAACAATTGAGGAATATTGCATATTCAGAAACAACAGACTTGAAACCACCCCCTCAATTGGTAAAAACAAAATGAGCTCCAAAGAAGGCCAACCCTACACCAAATGATAATTCCATGATCCGGTCTCTTTCATATTTTGAACATGTTGTAAATTTTTTTCCAAATTCACCAACTTCGAAATCTCAGAAAAGTGTTTTCAATGAGCTCGCATTAGCAAATCACCTCCTTCACCGCCTCCACAAAAAATCCCATTCATTGAGGAGATGTTAATTTTTACGCACAAATACATTGAACAAATCATCAATGTTAAGGGTGACGGTAATTGCGGTTTTCGAGTTGTTTCTTCTTTGCTCGGTAAAGGAGAAGAGGACCACACACTTGCCCGCCATCAACTTATCCAAGAGTTGAGGAGCAATAAAGAATCATACACACGACTATACAGAAATAAAGCAAAATTTGAAAAAAATTATCACTCTCTTGTTCCTTGTATTAATGGACCTACACCGAAGGATAACCGTGCGAGCTTCCCTGAAATGGTTTATCTCATAACAAGTGTGTATGATAAAGTGTGTATCGATCTTACAAAATACAGTTTCTTGGAAACTTTTTTTCCACTGCACACTGCACCACCTCTAAATCCAAATGATTGTATTATCTGTGTTGGATGGATTTCAAATCCGCAACATTTTGTTCAAGTTTATTTGAAATTGGGGTACCCTATACCACTTACATCATCGGAGTGGACAATTCATTCAACAACCAGAGCAGAGACTTGGTCGGACCATTTTTTTGAAAAGATTCAAGAGTTCACCAAATTGAGCGAGACTGAAAGAGAAACAAATAAACAAAAGTCAAATGGGGTACCACCAATCGTTATACATTTAGATGACGATAAGTCTTTCAGTTCATTTTAGTATTTATTTATCAATTTATTATAAGTAACATTGTATTAATGTGACATGGTGTCTAATATATATATTTTGAAGTTTGTCAAAAAAACTGCACTAATTACATGTTTTGTTTCTATTTTGTTTTGCTCTGCTCTGCCAGGTAAGTTTTCGAAAATATATCTCCGAAATAAAGGATGGTACCATATATGCTTTTCTGAAACGTGCTCTGGTACAAGATATAATTTATGAGGGAAATATCAGTCTACAACTACTATAAATATAAGGCACTTGTCTTATTGTTTCATACTAAAATATAATATACCAGAATGAATATCATTTGGCAAGTCGAAAATGTTTACTTTAACAGTGTGAAATCCTCAAGAGAAATTAAGATCACTGAGTACACCACTCTTGAAGATCTGAAATACACACTACAGAAGCTCGTACAATACGATGACAATCGCAAAATTATAAAGATCGAGTATCGCTCGCTATCCGTTGACAAAGTAAAGAAGATTGAGTTCATCAACTATTAGCTGAAGACACACGCTGATTTAAGGGCTATGTGAAATACTTTTTTCAGTTTAGAATCAAAAATTCTGAACGAATTGGATGCGACTATTTCGAGATCGGTCAATGATATTATCAAAATGTTATAACGTCCACATGAATATTGAAATGCAATGCTTGATCTATGTTAAAATCTGTTATATATTGATGATTTAATGATATCAATGATGATTTTATTTTGTCAATATGCTATTTTTTTTTATTCTGTTTTTCTGCTACTACATCATAACACTCTGGAAATACATCTTCGCAATTTTTACAAAGATATATCTTCAAAAAAAAAATACTCATCAGTAAGTATTTAATAAATCCAAAAATTCATCTCTAAATCTTATAGATATTATTGTATTTTCACGCAATGCGTTATAGATATCTAAGGTGTATTAATAAATTTCATTAATGCTAATAACTACACTAGCCGGCACCAAGAACATGATGAAAAAAAAAGTACGCACTAGTAACTAATCAGCGCCACTATATATATCTTCAATTTCATTTCAACTAATTTCACAAAAAAATCCAAAAAAAAAATTTTGTATTTTCATTCCCTTCTCCATTCCGTTATTAACAATGAAGGCCGCTTTGAAGGGCAAATACGACCTTGACCATAACAGCAGCGGCGCCGCCACCGTCGCCTTCAACGCCGGCGACGTCAAACTCCGAGCATCCATAACCGACGCCACTTTCAAAAACGGCCCCAGCTTAACCGGCCTAGTCCTCGCCGTAGAGAAACCCGGCTCCTTCAGTGTCGACTACAACGTCCCCAAAAAGGTACAAACCGTAATTTCCAAAAACGGTCCGGTTCATTTCTAAACCCAACCGGTTCGGTTTTTTTTGTTTTTGTTTGCAGGATTTTCGGTTTCAATTTATGAACACCGTTAGGGTTGCAGAGAAACCGTTGAATTTGGCATACATACACAGCAAAGGAGATAACAGAACAATTTTGGACGGAACGTTGGTGTGGGACCCATCGAACAAGGTTTCAGCGAACTACGCTGTTGAATCTGGGAACTGTAAATTGAAGTATAGCTATAATCATAAGGGTTTGACTACAATTGAACCTACCTATGATGTTGCTAAGAATTCATGGGACTTTGCAGTTTCTGGAAAAGTTTATGGTGATGATTCTCTCAAAGCTTCTTATCAGACTTCAAGCAAGGTGTTAGGGTTGGAGTGGACAAGGAGTTCCAAACAAACTGGCTGCTTCAAGGTATGTTATTTATTATGGTTTTAAATTAGGGTTGTTGAATTTGGTAATATGGAAAATTGTGGATTAAACCCTAAATTAAGCCTAAGATTTTAGTATATGTGATTGATTTTTGAAATTGTTAGTACTCGACTATAGTTGCCGCGGTTGGAGGGAATTTAAGCAACTATTTGGCAACATGGTTGGTTATTTGTCTGCAATTCTTGAATTGTGTTGTAATGTTAGTTAGTTAGAACATTGGATTGAATTGATATCTATTGTTTTGTATGTAGCTGCTTTGAATTGTTTTGTGGTGATGAAATTTTTAAATTTGGCTCGTTGCGTGTGGTTTTTTCTCCTCATGCAATTTTTTGCATTTATGCAGTGAGTATTGTTGACTAATAATACATTGGTGGTATAAGACTATTGATAGGTTGATTTTACAAGTCTTACGACTTCAATTGTGTGCTTGTGTTTTTTCTTCCATTAATTACTTTAAATTGATGGCATTGTTTGCGATTGGGGGATATGTGAGTTTTCTGGAGGGTTTATTCATCCGTCAATCTCTTCATATTGGAAGCTTCAATTGCACACAATATGAAGGATTATGAGTTGATTGGAAATTTAGTGTCTCATACAAACTTACAAATATAGACTGTGTAAGGAATAAGGATGTAGTATTTTATCTTCGGAGGGGCTCTATGTATGTTTGCCAAAATATAGTCGGTAGATTTTGTGCAATTGGTTGAGCTTGAGGATCTGCAGATTGTGCTACCTGAAAATGGACTGAGGGAAGATTTGGAATAAGTTATTAACTTCTGTATATGAATTAAGGAATATACAACAACTAAATACCGAATCAAGTTATTTATGTAGTCTCATTAGAACAGTAGATCATCTGTATTCCTAAATAAATGTGAAGAATTGGTTAGTATCTGTGGAGATTGTTAGTAGCAAGTATTTATTTGTCACGTATAACTTCTAACTATCAGCTATGTCTTCTTACAGGTTGTGGCATCCGTTAACTTGGCCGAGGAAAAGACAATTCCAAAACTCAGTGTTGAGTCCACATTGAATTTTGAGATGTAGTTTTCCATCCGATATACCAGCTCAATTGCTTGATAGATTGCTATCTAGTTGTGATGGCTTTTGTGGTCACCATGGGGTATATTTTGCCTTTTCATTATTGTATACTTGAAAGTGATTTGATCATGTAATGAGCTACTCTGAGGCGTTGATCGCCCATATTAAACCTTTCATCTTTATTTTTTGAACTATTATGATACTTCTCTCATAATGCAGAATCCTGTAATGGGTTGCCTATATTTTGGGCACAGTCTATTCTCATAAAGTTATTATGTGTTACCATTCTTTTCTCTATGGCCATTAGAATGATTGGAAGGATTACTTGTTCTGGTAGGGAAATCACAGGGTTGTGTTGATCTTGTTTTTGAAATTTAAAAATATGACTATACTTTTTTAATCGAGTGCAAGAGAAAAATATTGCAAGGATTATAAAAAAGAAATCATAAGGTAGTCTCAATCACATTATTGTGTGATATGGTTGTGTTTATTATTAACTATAGAATTAGTGTTCCCATACATACCATGAAACATTCTCTAAACATTTTTTTCCTCGATAAAATGCAAATAGTGGAGTGCAAGGAACGTATTCAACAATAAACATGCTATAATTAAATATGATAGAAATAATGTTTTTTTATTGAATGATATACTAATCAAGAAGAGAAATATATTTTGATCTTTTTCGTGACAGAAAAAAGACTAATACTTTCTCAAATTTCTTTTAAAATCAACTTTTAAGTTTATTCAATAATTGATATATCTAATTTAAATATAGTCTAAATATATTATTTATTAAATGAACCTAAAAATCAAAATTTGTTTATAAAATAAAATGAAAGGAGTGTAATATTTTTTTTAATTAAGGATCAAAATGAATTCAGAAATTAACACATGATAAAAAAAACATATTAATATGATATATTACATTAATTTATTATTAGTTTATATTTAATTTGTTTTAGTACTATTTATAGATGATATTGATAGAGTTTGAGTAAGGTATTGTAGTATCCGTCTCCATATTCGGAGTTTAAGAAAATCTTCGTACCTGAGCTCATACTCTCATGAGCATCAACATTTATACATTTACTCATATAATACGAGTACCTAAGTACCAGTATTTGTATCCGTTATCCACAATTTTAGTAAAAAAAAATCTATCAATTGAAAAATATCATATTATTTTAAATTTTGAACAAAATTAATGAAAAATTCAAAGATTTTATTGTTGAATTATGAAATGAATGAACACGTATATTAAAATGCGTAATAATTTAATTGTGATCTATTCTCTAAAGAGATAAACATACATTTTTATATGATGACATAAATTTAAATATATAAATATATATTATGCAGATATGGGACGGAGTGGGAACTAAGGTACCCGTACCCGCACCCATATATGTTTACTTTAATGGGTAATTACCTGTGTCTGTGCCGGTGAGACGTAAGTCACAAGGTTCTTCATATTTTGAGGTGTTGGTTACCGAATTGAGGGAGAGACATCAAAGTAGAGGTTCAAGTAATAGTGAGACATCACTTGGTAAATCACAAGGAGTCTCTAATAGATTCTCTAATATTCAGTGTCATCATTGTGGGGAAAAGGGGCACATAAAAAGGTATTGCCCGTAAGTTGAAAAGGGAAAACAAGAAGAAGAGCTACAACAACAATAAAAATGAAGGTAATAATAATGAAGATGTTGCTATTGTTGATGATTTATTTGTTGTTTGTGATAGTTGTGTAGAGAATGTCAATCTAACTTGTGATGAGATGGATTGGGTGGTTGATAGTGGTGTCTATACTCATGCAACCTCGATACGTGTTCATATGGGAAATAAAGGGCAAGTTAATGTCATTGGAATAAGAGATATTTATGTTGAAACTAGCAATGAGACTACTCTAATTCTCAAAGGCGTGAAACACATTCCAGAACTTCGATTTAATCTTTTATCCGTTGGAAAGTTGGATAGTGAAGGATATGATAATTTTTTCCAGTCAATAAATGGAAGTTAAAGAAAGGCTCAATGGCGGTTGCTAAATGAAAAAGGAATTCGAACTTGTATGTCGTCCAACTTATGGTTTCGAAGTGCTACATCAACACCTGTGGACAATGATAACTCATCTGAATTATGGCTAAGCGTTTGTGTCATATGAGTCAAAAAAGGTTTGAGTATTTTAGAAAAGAAGAATGTGTTGTATCGTGTCTCTGATGCAAAGTTGAGAAAGCATTCACATTGTCTGTCGGGTAAGCAAAGATGAGTTTTATGTATGTCATTTGAACCAAAGAGGAAATCAGAAGTGTTAGATTTAGTATATTCCGATGTGTGTGGTTTGATGAAGACACAGTCATTTGGTGATGCATATTACTTTGTGACTTTCATTGATGATTGTTCTCGAAAAACACAGACTTATACCTTGAAGACGAAAGATCAAGTATTAGATACCTTTAAGTTGTTTCAAGCATCGGTTGAAAGAGAAATAGGGAAAAATCCCAAGTGTATCTGAACTGATAGTGAAGGAGAGTATGTTGGACCTTTCGATAAGTATTGTCAAGATCAAGGTATACGTCATCAAAAGCCTCCTCCAAAGACACGACAATTGAATGGGTTGGCCTAAAGAATGAACATAACTTTGGTGGAAAGGGTGAAATGTTTACTTTCTCAATCAAAGTTGCCGAAATGTTTTTGGGGAGAAGCACTGAGCATGGTTGTACATATTTTAAACCTCACTCCATGTGTTCCATTAAAGTTTGATGTTCCAAATCATGTTTGTAGTGGTAAATATGTTTCCTACTACCATATTCAGATGTTTGGGTGCATGGCTTGTGTGCATATTCTGAAGGATGAGAGATCGAAATTGGATGAGAAGTCAAAGAAATGTGTGTTTGTTGGGTATGGATTTGATGAGTTTGGGTATCAATTATTTGATCTGGCTCAATGGAACCTTATTCATAGTCGTATTCATGGAAGATTATACTATTGAAGACATCGACAAAGTTGAGAATAAAGATTCGACTTTTAAAGATGAAGAAATGATTGATACAAACTCAACTACTATTTCTCCTACCCTAATCACTTTCGAAGATGTTCCAATTGAAAATCAAGGTATGAAATTTAATGTTGATAATGTTTAAAATCCTCATGATATTGTTGATGTAGGTGCTACGGAAGACATTGTTAAAAATGAGGTTGATCAAGAGGTTGAAAGTGTTGAGCAATCGGTTGCTTCTAATAAGTTGAGGCGATATACTCGTGATAAAAGGACTTCCGTTCAATACCCTTCAAATGGTTATGTTTTTATTACCGATGATGGAGAACCTAGAAACATTAAATAAATTTTGGAGAATGAGAATAAAAAGGAGTGGATGGATGCCATTGAGGATAAAATACAATCACTTTGTGAAAATAATACCTTTAAGTTAGTTAAGTTTCCAAAGGATAAGAGAGCATTAAAGAATAGATGAGTTTATCGGATTAAGCAAGATGAGTGTACTTCTCAAAGAAGATACAAATCTCGTTTGGTGGTAAAAGGTTTTAAACAACAGGAATGTGTTAACTTTTGAGAGATTTTTGCTTTGGTTGTGAAGATGCAATCTATTCGAGTAGTTTTTGGGCTAGCCTCTAGTCTTGATTTGGAAGTAGAGCTAATGGACGTGAAGACGAATTTCCTTCTAGATGATCTACATGAAGAAATTTACATGGAGCAACCAAATGGATTCCGAGAAAAGAGAAAAGAAGACTATGTTTGCAAATTGGTAATAAAGTCTTTATGGTTTGAAACAAGCACCTTGCCAATGGTATCAAAAATTCAACTCAGTGATGATTGAACATGGGTACAAGATAACCAAGGCTGACCATTGTGTTTTACTGAAATTTCTCTGAAGGTAATTTCATTATTCTCTTGCTTTATGTGGATGATATGCTAATTATTGAAAAGAATATTCAAGAATTAAAGATTTGAAGAACACTTTGAGTGAATCTTTTTCTATGAAGGATTTAGGGGAGACTAAAAAAATTCTTGGTATTGAAATTGTTCGAAATCGAAATGAGAAGAAGTTCTACTTGTCATAAGAAATGTATATGGAGAAAGTCCTTCGACGTTTTAGTATGGATAAGACTAAAACGGTGAGCATTCCACTTGCTTCTCATTTTAAGCTTAATCATAAACTATGTCCATCTACAGGTGAAGAAAAGTTGAGTATGAAGAACATTATGTACTCGTCAGCCGTTGGTATTTTGATGTATGTTATGGTTTGTACAAGAATCAATATTGCTCATGTTATAGGAATTATGAGTCATTATCTCTCAAATTTGGGAAAAGATTATTGGGGGATCGAGAAGTAGATGATGATACATTTGTGTGACTCGTCGAATTTGAATCTAACCTTGGGATGCAAGAAGCTTATGTTGGTTGGGTATACGAATTCAGATCTAGCCGGAAGCTTAGATGATAAAAAATCCACTTCAGGTTATTTGGTAACTTTTACAAGGGGAGTCGTGGCATGGAAATCAAAATTGCAAAAATGTGTTGCATTCTCTACTATTGAAGTCAAGTTTATAGTCGTCGTGGAAGCGTCAAAAAAGTTGTTATGGTTGAAGAAATTCACAATTGAACTTGGTGTAAAACAATAAAAGTATGTCTTTTTTTGTGATAATAAAAGTGTCATTCAATTATCAAATACTTCCCCCTTTCACTCGAGGTCGAAACATATTGATGTTTGTTATCATTGGATTCGTGATGAATTAGATTCCAAGTTGATGGAACTTGAGAATATTCACACCGATGACAATGGTTTGGATATGTTGACGAAGGTGTTGCATAAGTGTTTCATATGGAAATCAAATTGGTGTTGCCTAAGTGTTTCGTATGGAAATCGAATTGGTGTTGCCCTCCAACTAGTCGGTCGGAGGAGTTTGTTGGGATATCTCTCCTATTTGGAGTGGCCCAAATAAAAATGGGTCAATAGATCATGTGTGTGTAAGCATTTATTATCATCCAA